GGCTTGTCTCTGAGGGGGAGATGGCGAACGAGGCTGCCGAGGCGGGTTGTCTCTGAGGGGGAGATGGCGAACGAGGCTGCAAAGCTGAAGGAAAAAAGTCTGGAAAATGTTGAGGAAAAAGTCAGAAAAAAATCATGAAAAAGTGAGGGGAAAAGTGTTCAAAATAAGGTTGAAAATATGTTGAGGAAAAAATCCAGGGAGGAAGTCTGGAAAAGTCAAGAAAATTTTTTAGAACAAATTCCAGAAAAAATGAAGAATAAACCAAGAAAAAAGTCGAGAAATAACTGGAGAAAAAAGTCTGAGAAATGTCGAGGGAAATGTAAGGAAAAAGTAGAGAAAATAGTCAAGGAAAAAGGATCAGAAATTGTCGAGAAAGAAGTCAAGAAAGAAGTCTGGAAAAAGTCAAGAATAATCTGAGAAAAAAGTAGAGAAATGTCAAGAAAAAGTCTGGAAAAAGTTGAGTAAAAAAGTAAGGAAAACGTTGAGAATAAGTCAAGAAAAAGTTGAGAAAAAAAGCTTAATGTCTGTAAAAAGTTGCGAATAAGCATCTGAGAAAAAAGTCCAGAAAAAGTTGAGAAAAAAGTCAAGAATAAGTTTAAAAAAGAAAGTTGAGAGAGAGTCCGGAAAATGTTTAGAAAGTCTGGAAAAAGTCAATTAAAAAAAGTACAGAAAAAGTCAAGAAAAAATTGAGGAAAAGGTCCGTAAAAAGTCAAGAAAGAAGTTGAGAGAGAAGAGGGCACTGGGACAGGCCCCTGCTAGAGGTGTGCCCTGGAAGGCGTTTGTGATTTCACATGAGCTGTGTGACTCAGCCGGAGGGCTGAGTAGCCGCACGGCTTTTTAAAACTGAGGCAGTGCAGGAACCCGCACTGGACCACACGGGGGCACTTGCGTGAGGTGAGTGCCGACCCAGTTACAATTCTGTGCTCCTTTTCCCAAGTATTTGAACTGTGCTTCCAATAGGAAATGGGGAAGGGGGAATTAGTTCCTAAGCCGGGATTTGATTTGGAAATGGGAGATGACCCTCTGGAGTCTCCAGCGTCTCTGGGCGTGTCCTCGTGCAGGGGCCTCCAGCCTTTCTACGCACGAGGTCACTTTTTGAATGTCAGTGCAAGCCAAGATCTAACTCAGACCCAAATACCTTTGCCCCGCCTCCTTTGTGCTCCTTGCCCCGCCTCCCTGTGAGGCCACACCCCTGCCCTGGGAGGCAGGAGGGGTTCATGACTGGGGTAGGGGTTTGGGATGTGGGCTCCAGCTGGGCCCTGCTGACCTCAGGTGCCTCCTGGGTGGGGGTGCAGTGGGGCTGAGGCAGACTCCCCCCTGCTCTGGCCCTGCACCTCTCCCAAAAGCAGCCAGCGAACTTGTCCTGCGGTGCCGCTCTCTGCTCTGTGGAGACAGGAGACAGGGTGGGAGGGGGGCACCCTGACATCAGCCCCCTCCTCTCCATCCCCTGCCCTGCGCAGCAAGCAGGCGGCTCCCGGGGACCAGCTCCAAGGCAAAGGGCAGAAGATGCGCAGCCGTGGGGGGAGGAGCAGCTGAAGTGCCGGCTCTTGACAGCCACGGGGCCAAACCAGTTCGCATCCCGTGTCAGAGGCGCCAAGATCTACCGGCTGGTGGCCCCTGTCCTCGAGCCTTCCCGCTCTAGGACAAAACCCCAGAGAAGTCGGCTACCGTGCCCACGTCTGGCCATTCTTTTCACCCGCCACTAGCCTGGACTGGAAACTGGTCAGCACTGTCCGGGCATCTCCATCCTGCCGC